TTCAGGCCCTGATTTGGAGGACTCACTCCCCTTTCCACATCTCAGCACTGGCTTCCCTGCTGGGGCGACTTTAAAGAGCACTTTCTTGGGATTCTCAGAGAGGTGGTCTCGAGCTGTTGTGCATGCTTTCTCTCCTGCAGTAGTCAGTGTTTCCTCCCTCTCCTATCTCTCGCTGCCTTTGGAAGTGCTTTGTACACAGTGGGTGCTTAATGAATGTTATTTATTCTCTCCTCAGAGTCCCCTAACTATTGCCCTGCTCCTTCCCTCGAATGGATGCCCAGACCTGTCAGAAGTGAGGGTACCGTCTCCTGCTGCTCCTGTGTCCCCCTCTCACCCCCGTCCCCTCTGGAAACAAGTTCTTCAGAAGAACTTGGTAACATGCTCATCACTCCATGTGCCTCTAGTCCTGCTCCCAGCCACTAACTTGTGTATAAACGTGGATAAGTAACTGTACTTTCCTCTCCTTGGTTCCCTTTTGGGTTCAATGAAGGGTTGGAGTGGGTTCATTCATTAATTCCTCCATTCATTCAAAGCTTGTTTATTAAGACGGTATCACAAATCCTGCGAATTCAAGGGTAAACAAGAGACAGTTCATGCCTCCAAGGAGCTCCGGTTTTATCGAAGGAGGCAGGAGGAGTGGTTAAGGCCCTGCTAGAGTGGCACAAGGCAGGGGCTCCGAGGCTGGAGTGGCCAGACACCTGGGGAAGGTCGGAGAAAAGCATCCCAGGAGAGGTGACGAGGCTGCTTCTCTGGGGATCCTTCCAGGTTCCAGGTACAACGGGCTTTCCCTCTAGAGCAGGGGTGGGGAACGTCCGGCCGGTGGGCCCTATAAGGCCCCTGAAATCATTTGGTCTGGCTCTGCCAAGGCATTAGGGGTGAGTTAATTAAATGTTTGACCAAACATAACAGGCTAATTTTTTAAAAATATATATTTTATTGATTTTTCACAGAGAAGAAGAGAGAGATAGTTAGAACATCGATGAGAGAGAATCATCGGTCAGCTGCCTCTTGCCCACCCCTTACTGGGGACGTGCCTGCAACCAAGGTACATGCCCTTGCCCAGAATTGAACCCGGGACCTTTCAGTCCGCAGGCCGACGCTCTGTCCACTGAGCCAAACCGGTCCCGGCAACAGGATAATTTTTGAGTCGATAATTTTGTATGGCCCGTGAATGATCTTATAAATATCCAAATGGCCCTTGATAGAAAAAAAAGGTTCCCCACCCCTGTTCTAGAGAAACACATGTTGGGTCAAAACAATAATCTTCTGCCGAAACCAGTTTGGCTCAATGGATAGAGCCTCGACTTGGGGACTGAAGGGTCCTGGGTTCGATTCCGGTCAAGGGCATGTACCTTGGTTGCGGGCACATCCCCAGTAGGGGGTGTGTAAGAGGCAGCTGATCGATGACTCTCTCTCATCGATGTTTCTAACTCTGTATCTCTCTCCCTTCCTTTCTGTACAAAATCAATTAAAAAATATATTTAAAAAAAACCAATAATCTTCTAAGAAACTGTGCACAAAGGAGCAGGCTCCGCTGGAAGGCGCCCTACTGGGAGGAGCTGCCAGGAGAACTGTGACGGGTCGGTGCCAGCTCTCTGGGATTCCTTCCAGCTCTGGGATCCCAAGAATCTGTGCCAAGGGGGGCCGGTGTCGCTTTCCCACATGAACGTGGAGGAGAGTTGATTCCCACTTGAATACACTGGGAGCAGCAGCCCTGGGGTGGACCTTTCGCCCCAAAACCAGTTGAAACTCACACACAGACTCCCTGAGTCATCTGAGGTGACAAGCGAAAGGCCGGCAAAGGAAACCGCTCAGGTGTCACCTGACTTTTATTCTTATCTCCCATCCATCACGGACAGGGAAGGATAGCACCTGGGTCTGAGGATGTGTCTGCCCTCAGACACAGGGAGGAAGCCCCAGGTGGGGTGGCGCACAGCGGTTGACAGCAGACAGATAAGCCCGAGGGGTGCGACGACGGGTGGACTAAAGGGAAAGCTGGAGGAGGGTGCGAGCTGAGGAGGTCAGAGGAGAGCCGGGAATGGAAACCTGCCCATAGCTCCTGCCATAGGACCGCCAGCTCCTCGCACAGAACCAGGCCCTGCTCTTCCTCAGGCGGCCACCAGGGGGCAGCAAAGTGCTGGTGTGACAGCCCAGCCCCGCTGGAGAGCGGGCGGCCTTGGGGCTTGGCCCGGGAGAGAGAGACTGAGCCCCTTGGAGAAAGGGTGTCTATCGGATCTGGACTCCCCCGGGAGAAAGCGCAGAGGATGGAAGAGCCAAGATTCCTGGGGCTTCCCAAGAAGGCAGGCACGCACCTGGGAATCGCGTGGAAGTCCCCAGTCTGCACTCTCCAAAGCGGACCTCTTGGTCTGCCTTCCCCTCGGCAGGGACCTCTGGCCCCACATCCCAGATGGTCAGATTCCTGCTGCCTCTAGCTTTATGAAACCCAACCTACCCCTTCCTGGACCCAGTCCCACCCCGGCCAAAAATGTGAGGGGCCAGCAGGTCCCCTCCTCCTCCGACACCTGCCCATTTTAGGTTTCTCAGGTTTCTATTAATCCTGCATTCCTGCTCCCGGCCCTTCCTCCTTCCCAGGCCCATCCGGCTGTTCCTGGGGCTCCTCGGGGGCTGGGATGGAGGTGGAACCCTCCGCTGCCAGCTCAGTGTGCCCTCCGGACCCAGAGGGGCCTACGACAGCACACTCCGCGTGGCGATGGCCCCGAGCTGCCCCGTCCTCACGGGCTCCCCCCCCCCCCCCCCCCCCCGCCCAGCTCTTAGAGATCAGTCTCCGATAAGCTTCTCAAGCCCCCGTTTCTGTATAAACTGTCCTGGGGAGAGAAGGGCTTGGGGAAAGGGATTCTGAGAAGCAAGACCAAGGCCTAGCCCAAGAGTGGCAGGGCCAAGGGGGGGAGGGGGCAATTCTGACCCCTCAGACCAGAGGCAAGAGATTAGGAGAACAAAGGGGCAACTGGATGAGGGTATTGGTGGAAATGGGTGTCCTGGTGCCTCCCCTGTGCCACCCTGGTCATGGCCTTACTTCTTGCTGATAGCAACTGTGAATCACAGAGAGTGAGAAACACTTGCCTAATGCTACGCGCCCGGCCTCCCTGCTGTGTCCAGAGGTGAGAACCACGGAGCGGAAAGCTGGTAGCAGCCGGGGGAGGGGAGATGCCTGACCACCATGCAGCCTCATTGCAGCCCTCCCAGCCTGTCAGCTATACCACCCTGGGCTCAGTTCCAAGCCCCCTGACCCCTGTGCCACGGGAGCGGGTGAAGTACCGCCGTTGTAGGACGGCTGAACCGGATTCATTTAGGACAGCACACAGTAGGCACCTCACCCATGCTCACGGTGGCCTTTCTCTCTCTCTCTCTCTCTCTCTCTCTCACACACACACACACACACACACACACACACGCCACAGTCATCTCTTGGTTCCGTATCCCCTCCAATACCCAAGGTGCAATAAAACTTCTGCAATATTTATTGAAAGCTGAAAATAGGAAGGGTGGGGAGGGAGGGGTTGGGAACACAGACAGCATCCGTAGCCATCCTCCCCACAGGCAGACGGGCCCCTCAGGCCGGGGTAAGAGGTGTCCAGAGGGAGAGGAATCCGCTCTGAACCTCGCTGACCCCACCCAGTAACTTTCCACTGGCCCCGGGCCAGCTGCCTGCACGTGCCGGCTGCCCCGGCTCCACGCTTCCGTCCCCTCCCCGGCAGGGCCTGCAGGGGGCTGGGCGGCTGACGCAGTCCCTGCCGCAGATCTCAGCCGCCCAGAGGCTGATAAGGAGCCCTGGCCTCCTCACGTGGGGCTGGCCCTGCTGGGCAGCTTCCAAATTAGGGAGATGAGGAGATAGGGAGTGGAGGGGGTGCTGAGTGGCCAGAGAAGCAAGGGAAAGGGATCTAGGCACAACCAACGGAGGGAGGCCTCGGGAGGCCTGGCGAGGGATAAGCCAGCAAATGGCATGAGATGGGGGAGGGGTTAAGCGATGGGACGTGTGGCAGGGCCTGTGGAAGGGCTGGGGGGTGGGTGGGGGTGGGCAGGGTAGGATTCCTTCCCAGGGGGGCGGGCTCAGTCAGAATGACCCTTCCTCCCCCAGGACATGCAGTCCTCTAGGGCAGAGCCCTCGCCCCCAGCCTGTGGGAGCACCCTGGGGGCCGAGAGAAGAGGGTGAGAGGAATACGGCTCAGTCCTGCCAGCCCCGCAGGCCTCCCGGGAGTGGGGGTGCAGGCCAGGGTGACCCGGCAGGACTGCAGAGCCCAGACCTCCCAGGGGGCTGCCCTGCGCCCACCTCCCTTGGGGCCCACCTCCCGCCCCCACTGCTCTGTCACGACCCAGGAGGTGGACGGCACTGCCCTCCTAGGCCTCTCTGGGTGCTCTTGGCCCCAGGCTCCAGTCTCTAGAACAAGCCATTCGTCTCAGAGCGGAGAGAAGATGGGCACAGCCAGGGGCAGCCATGCCACCTCCCCGCCTGCCCTCCGCACCCTGCAGAGCACCCTCACCTCATCTCCCAGCTGTACCCGACCCCCTTCCTTACAAAGCCTGACCTGGAGAGAGAGAGAGAGAGAGAGGAGGTGTCCTGGACACAGGACCGTGTGCTGCCCCCCCCCCCCCCTCCGTCACACCGCTGTGGCAGCCTTGGGGGGAATCGTGGTGGGGCGCCGGCCTCAGCCAGGCTTCCCGGGGCCTCTCTCTGAGATCCTGTCGCTTCTCCTCTCTCTTGTCCCTTGGATCCCAGAGGAGCCTCCAGCCTGGACTGTCTCAGTCTGGGAGGTGTGACGAGGGGAGAGGACAGCATGGAGCCTGGGGTGACCTTGGTTCCGTGGGCCCCTCGGGGCATGGATACGAGCTACAGAGGGTGAGGATGAGGGTGGGCGGAGGGAGTGAGCAGGCTGGCCCCGGGCTGGGCTGGCAGCTACTTTATATCTGGGCTTACAGGGGCACAGGGCGGGCGGAGGCCAGCGCGGGGGCATTCTCGGAGGGGAGGGAGGTGGGAGGGCTCCTCACTCCCGGCTGGTGCCAAAAATCTGCAGGAAGAAGGTGAAGATGTAGATGATGTCCAGGTAGATGTTGAGGGCTCCGAAAACATACTCCTCGGGGCTCAGCGTGTGGCGTCGGTTTCCCATCAGCAGCTGAGTGTCAAACGCCAGGAACTGAGGGGAGCGGGAGAGAGAGGAGTCAGAAGGCTCTGTCACTGTGACACTGACCCGGGGGGCCGTGTCCCCACCCAGGCCCACCCCCGACTGTGTTACAATCGCTGGCTGCCTGGCTGCTCACGACCTTCCAGCCCAGCCTCTGGAACTTTCCCAGAACCGGGAACTTTCCCAACACCTCTGTCCCTGACGTAATACCTATTCACGAAGACCTACCGTGTGCCAGGCACAGGGCACAGTAAAGAACAGGACAGACAAGACCCCTTACCGCACAGCGCTTCGAGTCTAGAGGGAAGTAGGTGTGAGTGTGAGTGTAAGCAAAGCGCCGGGTGCGGATCACAGGAACCTGGCCCGTGTGGGGGTGGCCGGGAGCCAGGAAGGCTTCCTGGAGGAGGGGGCCTTGAGTCCCCGCCTTCTTGCCATTCCTTCCCCCCGCCAGGGCCCTGCTCTTAGAAGACAAATGAACGCTTCAAGTACTGTGAGCAGGCAATGGACATTTATTAGGTGTTCCCCAGACACTGGGGACACCTGCTTAGTCCTAATCACCCCTATGAGTAGGGGTTCTGTGACTCCCAGAGGAAAACCACAGCCCAGAGACGCCAGGTACGTGTCTAAGGTTGCACAATTAGGAAATGGCAAAGCCAGGACTTGAACCTGAGCAGGCCTCCTCCACAGCCCCCGTGCTTCGCCATTCAGCTCTGCTTCCTGCCAGGAGACAGGCTCTCCCCGGGCGCCCTTTCGGCCTCTGGGACTACGAATCGTTATTCCCTGAGAAAGGGCTCCTCTTGGCCACCCTGCTGCTCCCCACCAGGCCTTCCCACTGCCCACAGTGACCCCTCCAGACCCCTTTTCTCATGGGGTCCCTGCGACGGAGCAGAACCCCGTGAGGAGGAGCATATGACATCTGACAGGCCTGCTGCACTTTTCTGGGAGAAAGAAGCCAGAAAGTTCCACCCGCGCCTCGAAGGCTGTGAACCACGGATCCCCACGGGATTGGAATTCTTCAGATCGATTCACATTCCTGCTAACTGGGCTGTGCCCGGCTCTCCCGCCACCTGGGTCCGGCCCGTGTTCCTTGGGCGCTCTGAAACATGCCTTCCACGGCACCGATGCACGGGGCCAGGGCGGGTGCCAGCGACATGCTGAGAGCTGCAGCCGAAGGGGGACACACACGCCCGCCTCTGGGGGCTCCCGGCTTAGTGGGGAGTCTGAGATGATACAATAACAATCAGTAAATGGCCCAGGCCGGTTTGGCTCAGTGGATAGAGCATCAGCCTGCGGAGTAAAGGGTTCCAGGTTTGATTCTGGTCAAGGGCATGTACCTTGGTTGCGAGCACATCCCCAGTAGGGGGTGTGCTGGAGGTAGCTGATGGATGATTCTCTCTCATTGATGTTTCTAACTCTCTATCCCCCTCTCTTCCTCTCCATGAAAAATCAATAAAAATATTTTAAAAAATAACAACAGTAAATGCGATAATTAGGGCTGACTGGGTAGGAGGAAGGTGTTCCGGGAGAGGTGACATTTCGCTGGGGCTTTGAAGCATGAGTAGGAGTTTGCTAGACGGAGAAGGCAGAGTGTGATGGGTGAGGAGATGCAGCATGGGGAGAGCAGGGGGGAAGGAGACGGAGGGAGGGGCCAGCTTACACTTTACCCTGGAAACAGGGCCCAGCTCCATTCCCTTCACCCCAGACACCGACTCCCTGACTGGAGGCCCCAGGCTCCTTGGAGTTGCTTTAGGTGCAGCCCATGTGGATCCCGCCTCCGTGCCCATGACCCTGGGGCACAGGGGGCGGAGGCCCCGACAGGGAGCACCTCCAGCATGTGGGCCCCGAGGAGGGTCACCCTGGAAGGCGAGGAGTGGGGGCCGGTGAAGAATGCAGGCTTCAACGTCAGACTGACTGGATTTTAGTCTTAGTTCCGCCACCCGCTAGCGGTGGGCCCGGGGCAAGGCATTGCTCTCCGAGACAGGTGAGCATGAAACACCTTCCCCGAGGTGGTTGTGACAGGAAGATAATGCGTGCAAAGCGCCTGGCGCGGCGCCTGAGACGTGGTGAGCGCCTAATGAATGGGAGCTGTTTGTGTGGTTTTATTGTTATTATCTTCAGGAGAGGTGCCCTCTGGAGAACATGTGTTCGCCGCTGCTGAGCCTCCTGCGTCTCCCGAGGCTCATTGAGGAGACAGATATGTTCCTGGGAAAGCTGTGTGGCCTCCAGAGAAGAAGAATGGGGAGCTATGACCTGGGCCAAGAAGGCCCTGTTCACGCAGGCCGGCCTTTCTGGGCTCCGCGGCACTGAGGAAAGGGCACACGAGAGCCCAGGGCTGGAGCTGGAACACCTGGGTCTGAGGGCCGGGTCGTCCCTCAGTAGCCATCACCCACGTGACCTCAGCACCCTCATCTACAAAACAGGACAGTAGTGATGACCCCATCTCCGTGTGGTTTGGAGGGTACATAAATGACAATGTAGGCAGCACCAACTATTATTGTTCTTTAGAATCATCTCACCCCATTCCACGCTCCTGAGTTTGATTTGGGTCCCCTCCCCCAAACACTTTCCTTCAGCAGAGAGAACAAGGAGAGGGGCCGATCCAGTGCCACACGCTGCTAAGCAGTCACGCCTGCCAGCAGAAGTTAATAAACTGCTGATCTGACGTATCAATCAGTAGCTCGCTTGGTTGGTTGCCCGGAGCCTGGTCACCCCTGGGTGAGCTAATGAAAATCAATCTCTCAGCTCCGAAGGCTGGGACCTGACCGGGTTTGGCGGAGGCCCCTCCAAGGAGCACTCACCCAGGAGGCCCCTGAGAGCCGCCAGCTGGCTCTTCTCTCGGAGAAAAGAGGAATGAAGTGATTTCTGCCCCTGCCATTGGCCGGTGGCCACGGATGCTTATCTGTGTTGGGATAGCCTGCCCCACATTCCACCCCACGGCCTGGCATCCCCCATCTCGGCAACCTCACGCGTGCGAAGCAACTGAAGGCTTTTCCTTCATTCATTCCCAGCAATAGTTATGGAGCATCTACTATGTTTCAGGGAACTCGCCTTCAGAGAACTAGCAATCGGATGAGAGCAAAAGACATCACCAGAGATTATTAGCAAGCATTCATTATAGGGGAAAGTTACCTACCAATTATGCCCCTGGGTGACAGTAAGCATTGCTAACTAACGTCTTGGTTGAGAGCCAGGTATCTTGGTTACAGTTAACATCTCAGCTGGCAGCCAAGATCTCAGCCGAGAGCTAAACGGGTCAACCACAGAGAGGGCAGCAGGTACTTGAGTTGGTAGCCAGCTGAAGACAAGAGCAAGTGGGATAGGGGCAAGAGGCAGGAGGATTAGGCTGATGTGTGAAGAGTCCTTTTACACACTGTTCTTTTATCTCATCTCACACACCCAATTTGCCTGAAGAGGTGCGTGTTACTGTCACTATTTTACATGTGAGGGAAGGCGCCTCAGGGCAGGTGGCTGGCTTGCTGGCAGTCATTTATCCAGGGCCGCAGCCAGGTGACCTGTCTCATTCTGATGGAGATGGGGGTCGAGGGAGCTTGCAGGGAGGGAGGGGCATGCACAGAGGCAGAGGATCCAAAGCAAACTTTCCAGGTTCACCCAAATGGCTAGCGCTGGGCCTGGCCAGGGCCCCTGGCTACGCACTCGGGCTGACCCTGCTGTGACCAGGGCTTGGGCTTAGATCCATTGTTCTCCCAGGCGTGAGGCAGCGAGGGAGCAGGCCAGGGCCAGGCCAGCTCAGAGCCACCAGCAAACAGGCCCTGAATACAAAATGCTGAGGCTGCAATGCGTTGAATCAGCATAAAAAACAACACACGGACCGCGTCCATCCCACAGAAACGCCAGCAGGCGAGCACACAGCGGCAGGCCGAGGCTGTCCCCACGGCATTGGTTCCCACCGCGGAACGCCGAAAACACCCGGTCCCGTCAGTGACGGCCGGGTGAGGAGCTGTGGGCAGCAGTGCCGGGGCAGAGACATCTCTGACATACGCTATTACAAGAAAAAAACAAAAACAAGTTGCAGAAAAATCCATATCAGATGTTAGCAAACCTCACAGGAGTCTGTGTAGCAAATATCTTTAAAGCACACACAGAAAGGCCTGGAAGGATATTGATCTCAGCAGTTACCAGTTGGGGAGGCAGTGAGGGACATGGTCAAAACAATGTTAGCCTTACCTATAGTATTTAAGATTAAAAAAAAAAAATGAGATGTATGAATAAGCGTGTTCACCTATTATGTAGTTAGGAAATTTAAAAAGAAAGGTCAATGTCACACACACGAAGACGTGGTGACCTCCCAGCACAAGCCCCTGTGGCAGGGGCTGCGTGATCCAGCCCCTCGTGCAGCTGAGGAGACTGAGGCCAGTGTGGGCAATGTGCCCACTGCACACAGCCACGAGACCCAAATCCCACACTTTCTACCATGTGACACTCGTTGGGGCATAGCACATGTGTATGCATGCACGTGTGTGTGTGTTGTGTGCACATGTGTGTGCACGTGTGTGCAAGGACAGGAGAGGTGCAAACAGAGCTCACGGCCCGGAGCGCTGCAGGCTTCCTGAGGGGTGGAGAGAGCTGGGCCCAGCAGGCCCTGCCACTACCTTCCCGGCTCGGGAGTGAGGCTGGGCTCTGGGGATTCTTCGGGAAGAAACGACGAGCCTCAAGCCTTGTGCCCTCCTTGAGATGGGGGTCAGGGTGAGGGAGGAGAGGTGCCGAGTCCACGAGCTGCCTGGGGCCAGTGCTACATACTTCTCTCGTCTGCACTGACCTCGGTGTCAAAAACGTCGACACGGACAACTGCACGTAGCCCTGGGGCCTGGCATGCATCTCCAGAGGGGTCACCGCGGGGGCAGGGTCTGGCAGGCACGTGAGCCAGGAAGCCCGGCCCAGGATACAAGGGGAGCAGTGTACAAAGTATATGTGAGAGAGCCGAGGGCGGTCTTAGGAGGAAGGACAGGAGTGTGACACAGTGTGCAAGCACACGGACCGGGAAGTCACACAGG